CTCGCACCCAAACCCCCAGGCCCCCCCAGACGCTGGCCACTTCTAGGGCATTCAAGAAAGACTCGATCGAGCCGGCCGGTGGTGGGTGGGCGGGCTTGCAGGATGCTGTCCAACATGGAATGGGAGATGCAGTCTTTCCTTTCGCCTTTCGGATGAGGCAGGGGCAAGCAAGGGCTCGGGCTTCGTCCGTGACAGAGCACCGCCCTCACCCTAAGCTCACCCACCTTGGGTCGCGTGCAGACAGAGGCCAGGAGGACAGTCGCCGCCACACTACGGGGACGTGGGATGGGCGGGGACAGCAAAACCCCTCCCGCGGACCGGCCCTTCGTTTCCAGCCTCCCAGTTCTCCGCAGGCCCCTCCCCAAGCCGCTCTTGTTTCTCGCTGGCCTCGAATGTAGCGGAAGTGACGTAACGCGTCGCACGCGATTGGCGGAAGGAGAAATTGCTTTGCGGCCGGCACGGAAATTGCTTTCCTTTCGGCTTCCGCTCCTGGCCCATGTGAGAAGCAGAGCTGCTGAGATATGAGTGCCGCTCGGGCCGCGGAGAGGTGAGGGATAACGAGGGGAGGGGGGAATTCTGAGTCTCATTAGGGACAGAGTCCCCTGGCTTTTAGGCAGTGGGAGCCGTCCTTTAATGGACGGCAGTTGTTCCTCTAACAAGACATTGCCACTCGTCCCTGTGTCCACGACTCAGCTTTGAAAACCCTTTTCATTGAACTTAGTTCGCGCCGCAGCTTTTTAGCTGCATCCCAGTTGGTCCTGATGCAGCCTCTCCCTCTCCGGCCGAGTTACTATGTTTCACTTTCTTCGTCACGTGACCTCTTTTTCTTGTCCTGCAGCAGTCAGGTTTCATCCACCGGGCTGGCGGGGCCGGAGTTAGAAACTCCCTGCGTCTTGGAAACCTTGACTGTTGAGAATCATCCGCGACGTTTTTCGCTTCTGATGTTTCATGGAAGCAAACTAAATGTCATCCGTTTAGTAACGTTACCAATACATTTTGTTAGGTAACACTAGACTAATTTGTTTCTAGATGTCAGTCTCCTTAGTTAAAGCACCTGCTTTGCTGAGCAAGCCCCGGGGGAAATGGCTTACTCAGCTGCTTTCGACCAGGTCCTTGTTTCCACATTCCTGGGAACAAGTGATCAAGATGACACTGAGTAGGTTGCACCTGTCAAAGTGTCTGTGATGTGAAGGATATTTAGAAATATTAATCGTGAAACTGCCTTGCCTCAAGGACCAGCAACCATATCTTCTGCCACCCTCTCTAGGGTCTGACAGCTTCCCACAGGTCAGTGGGAATCGCACTGTCAATCACTGAAGAGTGTTAGATCTTTTTCATGCAGTTTCATGCGGGTATCAGCAAACACCGATCAGCTCTTGGGTGAGAGCTGACTTCTCCCTAAATTTAATGTCTTGAAAATTTTCCCAAAGGCCCTTCATACCTTTTCATTTGTGCCTCTTCCAAGGGATGGGGCCTATTCTGTGCTGAAAACAGAAGTTAGGATGTTTGTGTTTTAGAGATTGGTAGTAAAAGAAAAGTTGTTTCAAATGACAGTGTTTCTCCATTGTCTCTTTCAACAGCCTTCTGGCTGTGAACCAACATGATGAATTAGTGGATTTGCCAGAAGACTACCCCTTGAGCACCAGTGAAGATGAGGTGGGTGACAAACTGCCCTCAAAATGAGGGTAAATGGCATATTATGGGATAGGTAAGGGATGGTAACTTTGTAGTATATTCACCATCTCAGGTAAATCACGAACAGTCTTGTGTATAAGATGTTAAATGCTCTGGGAATTTGAAAACTATGGAAGCTATAGTTAACTGTTCTCAAGCCGCTTCAGTGTACTTGATATGCACCAAAAACAGGTGGTCTAGAGACTTAGTTAATTATCTGGCTGAAATGTACATACATATTAATATTTTCAGCTGGATCTCCCAACTGATGCTATGTAAATTCCAAATCTTAATTCCCTTGACAAAATTACTTAACTTGTTGGAGGTAGAAGGAGTGTATGGAGCATCTATTTGATTATGGAATTTTAGGTTGTTTTGTTTTTGTTTTTCTTGTGGGTTTTTTTTTTTTTTTTGGAAAAGCCATCTTGGTCATTGTGACTGTGACTTACACTATGTGCCAGGATACCTGTATCAGATCACTTATATATTGTATACAGAAACATCATTCTCGGTGCTTTTCTTGTTTGGGCAGAGTTGTGACATTAGCTCCCAAGATACTAAGGGCTTGTGTTCCTTATAAATGAGGGAATTTGGATTTTGAAGCAGTTCTCTCTGTTCGAGCTGGAATATCTGCATACCAAACTTCATCTGATTCCTCAGTTCTCTGCTGACCAAAACAATGACAAGTTTTACATGGGCCTCAATTTCTACATTGTCTTTTTTCCTCCGCTTACCATTCTGATGTTTTGTTTTGTTTTGTTTTGTTTTCCTTTTTTGTGTTTAGGGTGATGGTGATGAAGAGAGAAAGCATCAAAAGCTTCTGGAAGCAATCAGTTCCCTTGATGGAAAGAATAGGTAATCTTGCCATCAATGTAGGCAGGTTTTAACTAGCTGATTCCTTGCAACTTGCCTATAACTGACATATATCGAGTGAATAGTATAATATAAAGATCTCGGCCCAGCTTGGTGGCACAGTGGTATAACTCACTCCTCAAGGGAAGATGGATCCATACAGAAAATGACAGGTTTGGTTCCCCCGGTGACCTAAACATGCCAGGCACATGTGTCCATCCTGGCTGGCTGGGAAGGCTGAGGTGCAGGGGGTTGCAGTGTGAGATCCTGTTGAATGTGCTTGTCTTTCTGTCTGTGTCTCTCACTCTCATGAAAGAAATAAACATGGACCAATGGATGTCATAATGGTTAAGGTGGCTGAATCTCACATGGCCCACTGCACAGTTGGAGTCTCTGGCCAAGCAGCTTGAAAAACACACTGGGCATGTGTGCAGGGGTGCCCAAAATCCCAGCTGGATCAACTGGCTGTTTGCATGGTTCTAGTTCTGGACCCAGAAAGCTTAGGAGACAGTGCCAGGCACCTGTGGATGCTTGCCCAAAATCCCAAGAGGGGAATGGAGGAGAAGAAATTGTGGCATGGTTATTCCCTTCTTGGAGAGTGCATTCTCTCTCATCCTCCCTGCCTCCCTGTCCCTCTTTGCAGCCCTCTCCTCAGCAAGCCTATGAGTTCTATGGTAATTTTTTTTTTTTTAAGTTTGCTATAGGGTACATGTACTTACCAGAGGGTAGGCGGGTGAGAAATCATCCCCCTAGGGCATAGCCCTACCACAATCCCTTCTCCATTCTCCTTGTAGGACTTTGGGCACACATTCACCTGGTGTGATCTTTAAGCCACTCGGTCTGGAACTGGAACTTCACTGTCCACTAGGTCGGATCCAGTCCCTTTAATTCTCCATGCCATTTGCTGGCTAAGCAAAAAATATATACATATATATTCTTTAATAGAAAAGAAAACTTATTTTTCAATTCATCATAGAGTGCACACACTCTCCAGGAGAGTGAAAGTGAGAAAGCACCTCCCAGGGGGGATGGCCATGCCATAGTCTTTTCTCCTCCAGTCTCTTCTCAGGAACTTGGGCATGCATGTATATGTGCCTGGCATCTTTTTCAAGCTGCTATGTCTAGGACTTGAATCACATAGTTGACTATGTGGGATCTAGCTGCCTTAACCACCATGCCACCAGCTGGCCCCAGGAAAAAAATCTTTTGAAGCACTGAACAAGCATTTTGCATATTAAATTAATTGCCTTACCCCCAGGGTCACCCAGCTCTTAAGTGGCAAATCCACGATTTAAATCCAGGTATGTTTAAATCCAGATCCAATGTGTTTTCCACTATGCCTACTTTGTATTACCTTGTGTTTTTGAGGGGATAACAAGAAATGGGGGGGGAGGTCAACCAGTAATGTGGTAGTTGAGGTAGCAGGATCTCACATGGCCAACTGAGTTTGAGTCCCAGACTTGGTGGCTTGAAAAACAAGCTGAGCATACGCACATTCATGTCCAGGATTCCAAGAGGAGAATAGAGGAGAAGGAATTGCAGCATGGCCACACCCCCCACCCGGGGATGCTTTTCCTTTCTCTTTTTCTCTCTCTATTTGTTTTTTAAAAAAAGAGAAAGATGAGCCAGCAGGTGTCATGGTGGTTAAGGTACTCCCATATGGCTGACCATGGTTCAAGTCCCAGACCTGGCAGCTTCCTTTCTCTCTTTCTGGTGAGCACATGTGCCATATAACAAATTTAAATAATAATAATAAGTAAAATAATTCTTTTAAAAAAGAGAGAGAGAGAAGAAATGACTCCATGGCTTGGTGGTTGGGGCAGCCAATCTACCTGACTGACAATGTGGTTTGAGTCTTGGATGCAGCGACTTGAGATACATGCCAGATGTGTGCACATACGTACCCAAAATCCCTAAAGAAAGGAGAGGTGGACAGGAAGGATGGCAATGAGATCGTTGTCCATGGGTGTGTGTGTGTGTGTGTGTGTGTGCTTTCTCCTCCTCTCTGTCTCTCTATGAGTGTACATGCTCTCTAACAAATGGAAAAAAAAAAAGAGGGAGAGAAGAAATGAGGGTTAGGCTACCAAGTCCACGTTAGGAACAGGAACAGATTTTCCAGTTGCTTTGTGACAAATCCTGGCCCTAGAAGAGAAGTCCATAAAACCAAAGCCTTGGTTGAAGAGAGAAGTATTTGTTCCCCCCACGAAATATGTTCATCCATATTACAATATAGTGTTCTGTGTCATTTCAGGCGGAAACTGGCTGAGAGGTCCGAGGCTAGCCTGAAGGTGTCTGAGTTCAGTGTCAGTGCCGAAGGTAAGTTGAATGATAGAAGGTACCTGTACGTGGAGTCTGTGGCATTCCAAAACATCGCGGTCACCACCACTGTGCCCCCACCCCAGAACTGTTTTTGATGTGGTTAACAAGTCATACCCGTAAATAAATGCTTACCGGTGAGAGTGGGTGAAGAAGGGTAGTCAGATGCCCTTCGATTTCATTCATTTCTAGAAGAAAGCTTAGAAGTTCTCACAATGAGCTTGAACTCCATCTGGGATAGAGGGACATGAATGAAGACAGCTGCCTTTTACCAGCTTAGTAATACTTCATAGTTGTATATTCATTTGGGGGGAGACAACATTCTGAGGGGAGTGTGCTCTTCCTAGAAATACTTTAGTACCAGCCCAGTGCATGGAATGGACAAAGCAAGCTCCCATTCCCATCTCCGTGCTACAAAAATCCTTTTTTTTTTTTTAACTATTTATTTATTTTAAATTTTCTCTTTCTCTTTCTTTCTTTCTTTCTTTCTTTCTTTCTTTCTTTCTTTCTTTCTTTCTTTCTTATTAAACTGATAAGAACAGCTGCTACACTTGATCTTAGCCAGAAGGCTAAGAAGTGATAGGGTTTCATTTTTATTTCAGTTTTCTCCTACTTTGAGGCAGGACAAGGAGATACTCCCTTGAGCTGGAAATGAGAGAGGTCAAGTTATTGAATGGTTATTCAAGGGCCTTTATCTTCTGTAGAGTTTCTCAACCTTTTGCTTTATTGTTCCCCTGCAGAACCTTTTTAAATAATCTTCCTCACTGTTTCCCTCTCCCCTCAGCCCCCTTACCTCTAAAAAACAAATACCAAGGAATAAGACCTTGTTGGGGGGCCAGCACGTGGCATGGTGGTTAAGGGCACTGGACTCTCACATGGCCGACTGCAGTTCAAGTCCCCAATCTGGCAGCTTGCTCTCTCATGTTCCCTTTCTTTCTCTCACTCTGTCCCTCTCTGGTCAAATTAAAATAAATAAAGTTAAATTTAAAAATTCTTAAAAAAAGATTTTGTTGGATAGTTGAGCCTTGGAGGGACACAAAGTTTTATAATATCTAAGGTTTTTTACACACACCCACCACAAGACCTAATTTTTACCTTTTGTTAAGAATGCATGATTGGCCCAGCCTGTGGTGTGGTGGTTAAGGCAGCTGGATCCCACATGGCCAAATACATGGTTCAAGTCCAGGACCCGCCAGCTTGAAAGACATGCCGGCAAGTGTGCATGCATGCCCAAAATCCTGAGAGAATGGAAAAGGGATTGTGGTGTGACCATCTCTCTAGGGGGGAATGCTTTCTCACTTTCCCTGTCTTGCTCTCTGGCCCCCTGTCTTGCTCTCTGGCAAGTACCATATTCTATAGCAAACTTTAAAAAAAGAGCCATGATGTATAATAGTAGGTGACAGGGACCAGCAGTTAGTGTAATGGCTATGTCGCTGAACTCCCATGTAGTCGACTGCGGTTCAAATCCTGGACCCAGTGGCTTAAACTCATGCCGGGCGCGTGTGCGTGAGTGCCCAAGATCCCGAGAGGAGAATGGAGGAGAAGGGACTGTGGCGTGGCCATCCACCCGGGGGGTGATTTCTCACTTTCTGTCTCTCTGTCTCTCTCTCTGTCTTTCTGGCGAGCACACATGCCCTATAGCAAAAACCTCTCAAAAAAAAAAGGAAAAAAATTGTTGGTAAAGAGTTATGATTTTTAACCTGATACTCAGTCTAGGAGCCAAATCTTTTTCACTGTCTTCACAATGTAGATAACTTGAATGAGTTGTGCACTTTTAGTAAACAGTAGTGTAATTTCCCGGAGCAAGTAACAATGTATTCATTCAGAAGCTATTTTTTGTACTTCTATATATCAATACCAGGAACTGTTGGAGATGCTAAATACTAAGGCTGCCATAGAGAATAAGACATGATCTCATGGGGTTTCAAATGTAGTTGGGGGAAGGCGACAATAAGAATTAAAATAAGGGGGCCAGCAGGTGGCGTGGAGGTTAAGGTGCTGGACTCCCACATGGCATTCCACAGTTCGAGTTTCAGACCTGGTGACTTGAAAATCACACTAGGTACATGTGCGTGTGTGTCCCACATGCCAGCAGGAGAATGGAGGAGAAGGGGTTGTGGTGTGACCAGCCCCCCTGGGGGGTGGTTTCTCTCTTTCTGTCTCCAGTGAGGATACACACCTTATGGCAAAAACCTAGAGTGATGCAGTAAAATAAGAGTGGCTATTTTAGGGTCCTGAAAGGTCCCTGAAGAGGCAGAATGTAAGCTGAGAGCTATAAATGAGAAGAAAAGTCAACTGTGCGTAGATGGGGAGAAGCATTTCAGGCAAGGAAGTAGAGCAAGGCTCAGAAGGAGGAGCACGTGCACATTTGAAGAACAGCAAGAGGGCCAATATGACTGGAGTATAGTGGAGGCCAGGAATGACAGGTCAGTGAGGTAGACCAGGACAGTCCCACAGGTTGATAAGGCTCCAGGTTGGGTGGGGACCCAGTAGAGGATTCTCAGCAGGATCATGACATGCTATGATTTGTGTCTCCAAAGCATCACTTTGGGTGCTTTGTGGAGAATGAATCGCAGTGGGGCATGAGTACAAGCAGAAAGACCGGGAGAAAAGCAGATGACTGTTTTTTGGACAAATATTATATCTCCTCTCTTCTACCTCCCAACACATTTGAGAATGTTAGAAAGTGATAGTGTCACTATGACTAGGAATAAGGGATCAAAATAAGAGGATTACCCCACTTCCCTGCAGGTGTGTCAGTCTACCGGCACTTTCTACTACAATTTCCCCATTATGTTAAGGCTTTTGCCTCACTTCTCAGTCTGACCAGAGCTTGGCCTTTCTGCAGGATCAGGAGAAAAGCTGGTCCTTTCAGATCTGCTCCAGCCTGTTAAAACTTCCTCCTCATTGGCTACCGTGAGAAAGCAGCTGAAGAGAGTCAAGGCAAAGAAGACTGTGGAGGTACCCCTTAACAAAGAAGAGGTTGAACGGGTAAGTTCCAGAGATGGTGGTCCAGTAAGGAGAAGAAACTGAACTAACAAGGGAAAATGGGTTAGTATAAGGATGGAAAGGCCTGAAAAATGGGAGGGGAAGTTGTGATTTCCTCAAAACTCTGAGGAAATAATGGATGAGATCAGAAATAATCTAGGGGATATTGCAGTCCTGAGACCCAAGCAACAGCTCATCTCTGGTATCCTGACTCTTTCTCAGGCTAAGAAACATTGCTTTTTGGGACCAGCAATTAGCGTAACAGCTATGTCATTGGACTCCCATGTAGCCGACTGTGGTTCGAGTCCCGGACCCGGTGGCTTAAACTCACGCCAGGCGTGTGTACATGCGTGCCCAAGATCCCGAGAGGAGAATGGAGGAGAAGGGATTGCAGCGTGGCCATCCCCCCGGGGGGGGGGGTGATTTCTCGCTTTCTGTCTCTCTCTGTCTTTTTGGAAAGTGCATGTGCCCTATAGCAAAAACCTCTCAAAAAAAAAAAAAAAGGAAAAGGAAAACAAAGAAACATTGCTTCTTGATTTCCCGTTAGTCCTCTGAATTCAATGTGTAATCTCATGGCTCTTTCCTTTACGTACTTCACCTGCTTCAGATCCACAGAGAAGTAGCCTTCAATAAAACCACACAAGTCCTCTCCAAGTGGGATCCTATCGTTGAGAAGAACAGGCAAGCAGAGCAGCTGGTTTTTCCCTTGGAGAAGAAGCAGTCAGTCTATGCTCCCATCGAACATGTGCTCAGCGGCTGGAAGGTGGGTACAACAAAATAAAACAGAACCTTGAAAGGGGAGATGTCACTGCCAGCAGTTGATTTGATCAGACACCTTAAAGCCTAAATCCCAGCTTGAGTTGATTTAGTTTAGCAGGCAGAAAGCACGAAGAGGAGTAGCAAGTCTTCAGCGTCAGCCACGCGGTCACCAATCCCAGTAGCTTTGCAGTCACTTTCCATTCACTCCCAGTCTGTAGTACTGGGCTCTTCCCGCGTTTAAATGTCTGCTTGCCGGTACGGAAGGAACATACACTCCAGTTTTTGAAAAGCATTTAAGGCTACGTTCCAATTCTAGGAAAATCAGGAGCTACATAGCATTAATGATGACGTAGCGAAGATGAGCGTGCAGTGGAAGCCAAGGTTTGCTTGGAAAGGAGTTCCACTTTTAAATATGGCGGGTGGCTGGTCACAACTCTAGAACTTTACTAAGTAACTCAGTATGATTCTGAGCTGCAGAAAAGTTCTTTTCGAGCTGGGTTTCTCAAACACTGATCGCTGATAGTTTTTAATGCATCCGAAGCAAAAGGATTCATTGTAAGTATGTATGTTTGGTGGGTGTAACGCTGCTAGCTCGTCTTTACTACGAGGTGGTTCTTTCACTTCAGTGCTGTTGGATTTTTTTTTTTGCTTTTATGAAATGATGGTAGCAGGAAATGATGAGCCGAGGGGTGGAATGGGAGTTATGCTCTTGGCAAAATGCGAAGTTGGTAATCCTACGTCAGTCCCTAAAGTCTCCATTTTTAGTCTACAAACAACTGCTTTAGAACAGCTAGCCTACTTTGCAGTACTTTCCAGTATGAAGTCTATAATGGGATGATCCGTCTTGAATAGAAGAAATAGTCAAAAAACAGCAGTGCCCAAACCAGGAATAGATGCCCTCTTTATAGCTCTCCTCTGCTTTCTCAAAACCCAAGAACGATTGTGTCTCGTGTCGGCAAGTTGAGCTCATTAAAGCCAGTCGAAACCAACATCGCCAGGGCAGCTAGAAACTGAGCGCGTCGTTGTGTATTATACGGATAAGCTCTGTTGCTGATGGTGTTGTTGAAGTCACTACCATTCTCTTTCTAGGATGCTTCCTTTTCTACATGAAAAAGAGATCAGGTTTAAAGTGTGGCTGCAGAATGAAGGGAGACATTAGGAAAAAAATTCAGAGGTAATATAATTTGCAGGATTGAAAAATTAAATTTAAAAGTATAGAATATATATAGTGAAAAGTATAGAATATATATAGCAACCCCACCCTGTCCCCCCACTGCTCTTTTTTTTTTTTTTTGGTGTTTT